TGATTTCACTAGACGACATTTTACGAGTTGTTTTGGTTCAACCACATTATTTAAAAAAAGCTGAAAAAACGTGGTTGCGATTTACTGAACATAGCTTGTGAAAAAAGCCTTACGGTAAAGTGCGGATCTCATCGTGACCAGGGCCGGTAGTAATCTACCCTACCTGGTGGCATCATAGATGCCGGCAAGTTGGCACACATCGCGGAAAGATGCCAACTCCGCCGGCAGCTCGCGGAGTGATTGTAGGATTCAATAATCTTATGTAACCTTAGCACGCCATCATTTCGCACACTAAATTTTGATGACGCAGACAGCCGCAAAACTGCTACCTCCCGCGCGGTCGAACCTATGTGCGTTAACTTGAAGTGCCACCACGTTAACCATTCGACCATTCGGTCAGCGACTGCCGCTTGCACCAGCAATAGGAAGAACGCGCTGGTAAATGGCTGCCTGTAGGAGAGATCGATACATTGCGTGAGAGACTTCGACCTGAAAGAACAGCTGATTGATATGAGCGAGATAGGGGCGAAATCGGTGCAAACGAGATTTATAAGGGATTGCCAAACAAGATGATGTTCTTTATGATTCTAAGGCATTAGTAGATTTTTTCTCTGTAAGAAAATCGTCGTTTTAAAAAAGAAAAACTCGTATAATGAGAAAAATGATAGTTTTTTGATGAAAAGTAGAAATTTTGATTTTTTCGCCTGACGTAAATTGCGTGATATCGCCGCAATTCGCAAACTCGCAGACGCCGTCGGCAAAGGTGCCACCACCTCGACGTGGTAGGGGCACGTCGAGATGCCGGCAGCTCCCTCTCTCAAAAGAGCACGCTATTTCCCGTGCTCTCTGACCTGCCGGCAGCTGCCATCTCGCGGATTCCGCCAACTTGCCGGCAGGTTGCCGGCAACTGACCTCGCGAAGTTGCCGGCAGCTCCTCCTGGAATTCCAGATATTTTACTAAAGGAGGAGTTCTGGAGCCGCAGATTTTTATGAACTTTTCTACAGAGTCGAGGCGGCAACTTTATCGAGAAAATTTTTTGAAAAAAGGCCTGGGACGGCCTAAATTTCGGTTCTTAGTTTCTGGCCACCTCGCGGAAAGGTGCCAGCAACCTGCCGACGAGACCTGCCGCCAGGTCGGGGGGATTACTACCGGCCCAGGTGTTCAGTTTAGCTTAAGGATAGATTTCGCTCTTTAGCGTCTCCTCTGAGGCGATATGTAGCTACTGATAGGTCAAAACCGAAATTGAGATTACGACCGTAATTGTACAGCAATGAAGAGAGATGGATGATCCTCTGCACGCGGCGAATGTAAATTGGAGCCTGCTCTATTATGGTACAAGAAGCTAACCATAAGCAAAAGACTTTGAAGAGCTACCAACAGTTGCGAAACGTGTACTTAGTTTTGAGATGCCCCTGTATTGGTAGTGCATAGGATATTTCAAGTGTAGTCCACATAAGCAATAACCGTTTATGACTCTCTTTTCTCAATTTCTTTCTTGACTTACAGGGGATCAGCTTTGAGAATTGGCTCGAGATCAGGGCCCGGCACAGCTGGCAAGCTGGATATTTCAAAGAAAACTTTGTACGGAATTCTCAAGATCAAAGGGGACTTCGTTTTGAATTTCTTCTGATGCCAGCTCGTGCCGAGCCCTGCTCCGGATGATCAGCATGAAAGAATCAGACGGTGGCTTATAGTCACTGTAAGATTACGATAGATAGT